TTATTAGTATATGTTTACAGTACTTAATGACTACATTCATCATGGGGAATTGATATATGTACATTAACATATCTCAATTCTTCCCCCCTACTCTCCCACCCCCGTTTTTTAAAATGTCTTTTCAGCATCAGATTCATTTATTTATTTTGTAAGTTCTTACTAAGTTAATTACAAATACAGATTAACAGCCAGACTAACAGGCCAAAATGTATTTTTTATATATCACAAACATAAACTAATAGAAAAATAAGAAAATGATTAAGTAAAGTAAGTTAGTGCTTATAGTAAACACAGTAAAAATAGCTGTTTTAATATTTTTGTTGTTGCTATACTAAGCTGGGTATTAGGTCTACACATAATCAGCATCAACTTCTAAGAAAGAATTAAAAGCTTTATGGTAAGTTACTTTTTCAACAAATTAGCACAAACTCTCAAAATGCAAACCAAAAATGAGATGCTGATCATCTGAAGAATTCCTAGAGAGTTCTACAATGTTTAACACTTTCAAAACAGTTGACACAGTTGCTTTTTAGTTGTGTAGAAAAATATTTCTATTTATTTTAATATTTGCATATTAATAATTTTATAGATGTCATAATTAAATAATGAACTTTTTAAAAGCTGCAATCTAGATATATTTTTATAAAGTCTATTTTGACTACTACTTTTATAAGGTTTATATTTTTGGAGGGTGCTGGGAAGTCAAACCCAGAGCCTGTGTCTTATTTGAATATTTTTAGAAGGCTTTTATTTCCATTCTAATACTTACCATTTCACTGTATAAAATTAGATCCTAAAATAGAGTTCCTTCACACAGGGCCACATCCCTAGTCTATTTTAAAATTTTATTTTGAGACAGGATCTTGCCAAGTTGTGTGTGATCCTCCTGCTATAGCCTCGCAAGTGCTGGATTACAGGCATGCACCACTATGCCCGGCTAATAATTTTTAAAATAGAAAGAAGGCCAGAGTTTTGTGCTTTCCAACTATATATTTTGAATGTTCCTAAATGTTAATATTGAAAAGTACTGCTCTATTTATTTAATCAACAAAGAAAAGTTCAATTTTAAGATGAGAATCATTACCTTCAGAAAGAAATCATTAGTTCCTTATTTTCCATTCCAATAAAAAAAGAGAAACTGAGATACATATTCCTTAATTTAAATCTTGTATTTCCCATATTATAAATTTTAATCACAAATACTACCATGATATTTAATAGAATCTCTTTATAAAAACTGTGCTGCATGATTCTTTATAAAAACATTTTAAAGAATATTCAGTAACCAAGAAAACTGGACAAAATTTAAAAACATACTTCATACTTACATGTATCACAAGCCAAATCATGTTCTCTTTCCTACCTCCCTTCTAGAGATAACAAACCATAAATGGTAACTCAACAAACTGCTGTTGATAAACAAACTGAATATTAGTCCTACTAGAAAGACACAGAAATCATAATGGATGTACACTTTATACAACTTTATATAATGTACCATATTTTAAACTGAGAAGTACAATGTCATACCTTATTATTTCCATAGGCCATATCCATTGCTTCTAGAGATAAGGAACAAAGTGCATTTATTAAATGATGCAATGATACATCATCAAGATACCTAAAATAAAAATAAAGAAATCAGACATTCCAGTTTAAAATATACAGCTGGTAACAATGTTTCTATTCATTTTAAAAAATGACTCTTACTGTGAGCTTTCAAATAATCTTGAAAGTATATTGGAAATCACTGGTAAATCTGTCATCACTGCTGTTGTTAGAACCTAAGAAAAGCATAAAGTTAATGTAACATGACATTTGTGTAATCACTAATTTGGTAAGAAGGACTGGAGCTTACTGTACTGGGTCCTTCTACAGCTCTTCCGGGTTTCAAGGCACCACCACTACTAGGCTTTAATCCCAGAATCCATACAAGATGCTGAAAATTTAAAACACTCAAATTAAAATCAGTTGTAACTTTTAGTAACTAAATGTAAATCAGTAAGTTTCTAATAATTAATATTAAAATCAGTAATTAACTTTTATATAAATAATTATACCAAGCACAGTCAGCAGGATTTGGGCCATTATATGAAGCACTTTGTCACTTCCTATGATATGAGCCATGTCTTTTATTCCTTTCCAACTTCTTTTTTAATGCTTACTTGTCTACTTTCTACACCAGTGTAAAGCACCCATAGGGATTGGTTAGTTTAACTGCTAGTAACTACAAATAACAACACGGACCTGTTATCCACATACAACATACCTGAAGAGTTGCCAAGACAAGCTGCCACGATGTTCCAAGGACAGCCCCGTGGCAATGGGCCAAGTTAAGTAGAGTCCGCATACACTGGATATTTTTGGAAGTAAGCTGTATTGAAAAAGGATATATTTGCAAGAACTGTTAATGCATTTTTTTTGTTAATGCATTTTTAAAAATCAAAATCTCCAAAAAAGCAAACAAAAAAAATTAAAATCTCATAAAGCAGTATTAGTACATTCAAAGATTTTTTTAAGTAAAAAAAATTATTAAGAATATAGGTTGGATGTTTTAAAAAAATTCATTTGATTAAAAGCTGTGTTATCCTTATTGACCATAGTAATATCAACTACATAGTTAAAGGCTTCTTCTGAAAATACCTTCTAGGTAAAAGAAGTAAGCGTAATGACAGATTTTGGTAAATACCAAAAAAAAAGTTCCAAGAGATTTCCTTGATAGTTAACTGGTACCCAAAGAAAGCACAAATATCTTACCATTACTGTTCCCTGAGGCTGGACTGCTAGAGGTTGACCCACTGCCACAACTTGCTGGTGAGACTCACTTGATGGACTGATCATCATAACACTTTGGCCCTGAATAGAATATGCTAGGATACAAAGAAAAACATGAATAAGTAAAATATGTATTTCATATTGCATTCAAAGTAATATTTAAAAATACTAATTTGATTACATTCAACCATAACACTTATTTAAACATTATTACTATTATCTATATGTAATCATTTTGAAAGTTCACAAGGTACAAAATCCAAGATAAGTTAAGCAAATATTAAGTAAAATGATTTTTTATATAAATTATAAAAACTATAATAAGACTTTGGTAGTTTTCTTCATAGTCAAAACAATTAGGACACATTAAATATTTTAAACATTGTATTTCCAGTATACTTTTCAAATTAGTGACCAACACATTTTCAATTTGAAAACTGAATTATCCCATTGAAATATATTTACATCACCTATAACAAACCTAGGTATTTTCAAAGTATTCAACAGGAAATAAATTTTTGAATGTCAGCTTAACTTAAGTGATTACAAGAATTACTGTTCTACTAGTTCCATTAAAAACAAAAAAGCAAAGACCCAACATTTCAACAGTATTGTTTACAAAGGAATTCTAGATTTATTTTATCTGCACAATTATTATTTATGGTTTGTATCATTATATTCTCTGTTCACTTCTATTGCTGTATAGGAATGGAAGAAACTGATGTTCATAAGCATTAACTTCCTCAGCCACACAGTCAGTGAATGGAACAGAAGAAGCCTCAACTCAGAATTCCCATCATCTTTTCTCGACACTGTCACCCCATAGGATGGAAGGAACTTTGTGTAACCTTAAGTCTTACATTTATTAGAAAGTGAAGCTGCAGTTGTGGTATTCAATACAGTAAGAGCATAATGTGGAGGCAAAGAACCTTTACATATTGCAGTTATAAAGGCATCTCTTGAAGTTACAAGGCCCAGTCTTCCACAAAGAGCAGCCATAGTCAGTTCAGCTTTTAAAATGTTCTCAGTGGCAGCCTCATCTGTGCTGAAATGATAAGGTATTTTATTTAATTTGATTAACTCATTTTAAATTATAGTGTAAAATATGATGTGCGATTAGGTGTCCAGTGAAGTTTTTTAAAAAAACTACAAAAAATTTTGTCAAAATCAATATATTTCAAAAGGAATTTTAACAGTTAATATCTGAAAGTTTTAACTAGGTAAATGCATTTGTACTATATGTATATATATATTTATTATTAAAATGATCAAGAACTTAAAAATTTAATTTAAAATATCAAGAATTTCTAGCTGGGCATGGTGGTACATGTCTGTAATCACAGCACCTGGAAGACTGAGGCAAGAGGATCACCTTGAGTCTGAGGCCAGCCTGGGCTACATAACAAAATGCTGTCTTGTGCTCGCTTCGGCAGCACATATACAAAATGCTGTCTTATCGTCCCCCAAAATATATACCTCTCAAGCATTTTAAAATTAGTAAATTCGGCAATCCTGAAGGAAAACATTAAAGAAACTGAATATAATTATCACTGCAAAAATAGTAGAAAGTCTTGGATTGAAAAGGTATTCTGAGAATTGTATTTTCCATTAAAACATTACAATTCTGGTGGAAGGGCAGGGCAAGGAGAGGATGAAGGAGGAGGTGATAGAAAAAGAATGTTTTTAAGAAATGATAATGAGATGCAAATATTAATTACCTTGATTTGATTACACACTATATACATGTACTGTAATATTACACTGTATTTCATAAGCATATATAAGTAAATAGTGAGAATAATGTTTCATACATTCAAAAAACTAATATTAGAAAATAAATCATTGGTACAAATTTAAGTAAATTTTTTAAATGTTTGTTTTAACTGCTGCAATATAATATAAAACTTACAAAGACTTAATACCTGGCATCAAGGAGGAGTGAGAGTGCAGCGAGAAGACCACACCAGCAAGCATTCACCATTTCTTCCCAAACAGCTCTACTAACTTAAAGGAAAAAATGTATCACATTTTATGACAATTATAGATAGCACAGCTGTTATCAATATATAAAATTCTAAAATCTCCCTGGTCATTTGACAATATGATAAATATTCTATCAACAAATGAATTATTAAATATTAAGTCTTTAATATTTAAAATATACCCAAATAAGATCTTAAGACGCCATATTAATTTCAAACTTAAGTCTTAAAACAAAGTTTTAAAATAGGTACTATAAAATCTTTCTATATATAAATTAACTGTCTTTAAAAAAAAATATGTTTGGCTCCTTCAATTGGCCAAGTGTGACCGTGAGGATGAGCAGCAATGTAACATGTCGACTATGACTTAGCCAGGATATTGGCTACATACATTAGGAATCAAGCAAATAAGTACACTGAACAAAACATGATCAAACACTTCATCTGGAAGTTGGAAATTCCAAATTGAAGATGGAAATTACAAATACATAAAGTTAAAAATAAACCTTACGATGTTAAACTGGAACAGGTGTAACTGGTACAATGTTATCGTGGCATTTAACACAGAAAGACATTTCTGAAATGTAGGGGTGCGTGTGTGTGTGTGTGTGTGTGTGTGTGTGTGTGTGTGTGTATTTCCTATGCAAGGCAGAAAGAAGCACACCTAGTGTCCATGTATTTTAATACTATTCTCCAGGGGTCCTTGGAAAACTGACTGAGACACAGGCTGGACAAGAAACATACAAGATTAGTTTAGAATATCTATTAAATGTTAAGGAAGTGCTCAGAGAGTGTTAAAAGGACACTGAGGCCAGCTTTAAAAGGATCAGTCTGAGCATCAAAACAAATAGATTGTAATTCTCTGGGAAAAAAATCCAGGAAGTTACACTAACATAAATAATAATAAAGGGAGGGGCACTGTTATACTAGAGGGCTCATGTACATGGTTATAAAAAGTTAATAATGAACTTTATACTGGAAGAAACCAGGCTGACCTATTAACCAAATGATAAAAGTGAACAACTTCAGTGAGCAGATGAGTTGGTACCATATTCTTCCTAATGTGTTCTTACATTAAAAACAGCACAGCAATATTTCTAAGCAAATCCTGCCAAAAATGAATAAATAAATCTCATTATAAAGGAACATAAACTCAACTTGTTTGGCCTGTACTGCTCAAAAATGAACCTAGACCATAAAGGACAGTAGTGAGGCAACTGGAAAAATCTGATTGCAGTGTAAGATTAGGTGATCATTTTGGATGGGTCCTAATTTATTTTTCTTACTTTTGGGGGAGGGGGGTACCAGAGATTGAACTCAGGACCTTGCACTTGTGAGGCAGGAGGCGGCATCACTGAGCTAAATCTCTGGCCCGGGTCCTAATTTCTGATAGTGATTATACTGTAGTACATAAAACACTGCCCTTAGTTTTAGAAAAACTATTAAGTATTAAGGGGTAAAGGGGCATCATGGCAATATAAATATTCTCAAACAGTTCAGAAAAAGTATAGTCACATGTAGAATGGCAAGGTAAATATAGTAAAATGTTAACAATTGGGAAATAAGGGTGGATGATATATGGTAATCCTGCTATTTTTGCCTCTTTTCTGTAAATTTCAAGTTATTTCAAAATAATAATATACCTATTTCCTTCTCCATTTGGTCTGATGCTGACTGTAAATCTTGCTGTTCTGATGATTGTGTTGGTGAAGAAGCTGCTTCAGTGGTAGAATGACATTCTGTTTCAACCTCTCCTAACTCTTCTTCAATCATACTAGTGATTCCACGGACAAGATCCAGCAAACAATGGAATGCCACAGACATGGCATAGCCTTCTGGAATAGTTGGGGGCTCAACTTTGTCCAACATCTCTAGGCTGAAATTATGAAAAAATTAAAGTAGATTTTACAAAAAGTAAATCGTATAAAAATTAAAGTAAAATTAAATTGAGAAGGTACAACCAAGAAATTACAAAAACATTTTCTATAATTTGTAGATTACAGAAATTAAGGTTGACAGAATAAGAAAAATAAAGGATTTGTTTCATTTGAAGGAAGATCTCTTCATGATAATCTAAGTAACTGTTAGAAAAACTAAGGTCTGACTCCTGACATAACTAATTATTTTAATACTTTAACTCCTGCTTCTCCTCCAATTTGACATCATTAATTGTTACTATTAGAAAAATGAAGAAATATACAAAACATAGTAAGATTTAAAAACATAAAGCTTCTCAAACCCTGACTTAGGTGGGTTCTCTGTTGTTTGTGTAGTATTGAGGATTGAACCCAAGGACACAGAATGAGCTATACCACTTAGCTATCTCCAGCCCATTGTTTTGTTTTGTTTTGTTTTGTTTGAGACAGGGTCTCACTGAATTGTCTAGGCTGGCCTAGAAGTTAGATCCTTCTATCCCAGCTGGAACTACAGGCATCCACAACCACACCCAGTTGACACAAGTGCTTGTAAAAGAAAGCACCGTAAATTAAAATCTGTTTATAAAAAGAGGGATGCTTTCACATTGGGGAAAAGCTCAACTATGAAATATTCAGCCCACCCAACACCCCAGAATCAATGTGCAGTACAAATGATACTTAGAGCATCAGTGTGTCAAGCTCAAATTACAGAACAATTTCTACCTCATAATTAGGAGAAAGCTTTCACAAGGAAAAACAATAAATGTTCTGTCTTAAATCAGAACAAAACTGTGCTTCAAATAGCAATATCAAGAAAATGAAAAGACAACTCAAAGAATGGGAGAAAATTTCAGTAGAATGGTTACAATAAAAAAGATAAACAACAAATATTGTTTAGGATGTGGAGAAATCTGAACCTTCACACACTGCTGACAATGTGAAATGTTACAGTTGCTTGGGAAAACATTTTGACAGTTCCTCAAAAAGTTAAACATAGAGTCATCATAAGACTCAGCAGTTCTATTCTGAGATATATACCAAAGAGACATGAAAACACATGTCTATGGAGAAATGTGCAGGCAAATGCTCACAGCAGCAGTATTTATAGGAACCAAAAAGTAAAATGATCTAAATATGTCAAAGATGAAGAGGTTTTAAAATGTGGTATATCCATACATTAAAGAATTGTTCAACCATAAAAAGTAATGATGTACTTAATATACTACATGGAAGAACTTTCAAAATATTGTGCTAAATGAAGGAAGCCTGACACAAAAGGACATTTTGTTATATTATTCTATTCCTATGAAAGATCTGGAATAGGCAAAATCATTTGAGATAGAAAATAGAGTCTGGGGAAAGAAGGATTAAGAAATGATTGCTAATGGGTATCCTTTTGGGGTAATGGAAATGTCTTGGAACTAGATCATAGGAAGCCTTGCTTAAGTTTTAAATACACTGAAAACATTAACTGTGTGTTGTAAAAGCATAAATTTTATGGCATGTGAATTATCTCAGAAATAAAATAGAAATTACTTAAGAATACAATAAGAAAAGCTAATAAAATTTCCTACTTCAAATTCTAAAAATCTCTCAGTCACAATTAAGACTATACAAAGCATACAATTTATAAAGAAATACAGAATTCAGAACAAACGAAAAAAGGCACCCAAATATAGCAATCATTTATTGGGCAAATACTCTCAGCCTGGGATTCTATGTTTTGGAAGAGGGTGTATTATCTAATTTAAGACCTTACAAAAACCTTAAATGACACAAACATAGTTGTTAGTCATCAGTTTTTAACTCAAGTCTGATTGACTCTAAGGTTTATCTATTTTTTTTTTTGGTACCGGAGGAGATCAAACTCAGGACCTTGGGCTTGTGAGGCAGGCGGCGAAACCACTGAGCTAAATCCCCTGCCCAGATTTATCTGTTTTAACCAGTAATATGTGACAACTCTGAATCTTTTAAAATTTAGGTAATCATTAGAAATATATTTATATTATCGATCAAAAAACTTAAGCTCAGTGGGGATTTAGCGCAGTGGTACTGCGCCTTTCTCAGAAGCTGCAAGCACAAGGTCCTGAGTTCGATCCCCAGTACCAAAAATAAAAAAAACTTAAGCTCAGATGGGGAGAAAAAGTTCAGGGACTTAATCCTTACCAGGCCAACTACCCTTGGAAAGTCATATAGTAATAAACTACTGCAAAGCATATTGTTAGACAAATCTCTGTTCTCAAAAAATATAAGATCCATGGGGACAACACATTTAAAAGAGAAAAGAATTCTAAACACAAGAACTTCTAATTCTCAAATTGTATGGCACAGATATTAAGTGGCAGAATAGTTAAGAGGAAAAGGTAACATACCTTTTATTTATATTATGTACCTAAAACAAAGCACATAGTTTCTTACATCAATGCTTCAATGCTACTTTATTAGAATTACTACATAGTTTTCACTTTTGAATAACATTTAATTCATTCATTTAAATATTTTAAACTTAAGGTCACGTTGCAAAAGCTGTCAAAAGCCCAACTTTAAAGAGACCAATAGTGTAATAAATATGAAGAAAATAATGCCACCAATACTTACATCAAAACTACTTCTATGAAGATATCGCCTAAGCTTTCAAATTACTACATACAATACTTAAGAAGTCAATGAAAGACCCAAATGCACAACCAATATTTATATGTGTATTTCCAAAGAAACTAGCAGAAATCATTTTACATTGAATCTCACAATGAATGAATGGAAGATGCCATTTCAACATGAAGCTCCAATGTGGACAGAAAATGGACTTACAAAAAGAACCCAATATTCTCTGGAAATTTGTAATTTCAAAAGTGGTTAACTTCAGCATTACAGTACTAAAAAATTAAATGTTTTAGACATTAAATCCTAACTTTATCTTAAAGATGAGAAAATTAAGATCAAGTGAGATGCTATACTCAAATCCAGAGTATTCAGTGGCAGAACCAGTTAAAATTCCACTCTCTTGATAGGATTAAATTATCAATAAATAATTTGTTTTTAGGTGTTTATTAATAAAACGGCAGTTTTACAACTTACCTAAAAACTTATTCTTTCATAGTTTGTTTCTGTGTTTTCCTACTCAACCATACATCCTCACTCCCTCATTTTAATTATGTGTTTGCACAATTATGTCCTCAGATCCTTTTCTGTCCCCATCTTCACCTTGATTGCTTTCACCTCTTAACTTACTTTTACTTCAAATAATTAATCACTGCCCAAGATTATATATGCATTTAGGTCTTTATTTATTGACTATCTCACCAAAACATAAGCTCTATGAGGACAGGAATTTTGTTCTGGGCTGGTTTGGTTTTGTTTTCAGTTTATAAAATGGCAGTGATCTAGATAATTATTAATATCTTCTTTAGTGCTAGAAATTTTATTCTTTTACAATTTCATTTCTAGTACACTTGAGTTATTAGCTTTTCTAAAAAAGGAAAGTCCATACACTAAGTAACTTTAATATCTCATAAATGATTAAAAGTAACAATAAATCTTCATTAAAATATTTCAGTGCTCTGAGTCTGTACTTTTATAATTTTGACAAATGAAAGCTGCATGATAAAATATCACAATACTGATGCAATGCAGACTAATATACCAAAAGATTTATGATTTAAACTAGTCAGAGATTTCTTTCATACTTTTAATTTACTGTCATTTTCACTTACTGTCATCAGAATAGTGGTTTCATCATACACACCAATTATTCAAAACATATCAGTAACTGCCTCATACTAACTACAGCAATGTTAAACTGTGATTCAATGCTTTTCTTTTCCCTTTTTGGTATTTTGAATCAGGGTTTCAATATGCAATTCAGGTTGGCCTTGAACTCACTGTGTAACCCAGGCTGGCCTCAAATTCATGGCAATCTTCCTGCCTCTGGCTCCTACAAACTGGGATTGCAGGTGTATGCCCGGCTAAACTTATGTAATACTGACTGTTTTATATCTGTTAGCATTGCATTCACTAAGTGTTAAAAAAAAATTAAACAACACATTGCTAAATATGTATTTGCTAAACTGAAGTGGCTAATGACAACTCCAAAACAGACATGGACTCCATTAAGGTTTTAATAAATTAAAAATTAAAATTTCCATGTGTTTAACCTTAAGAATATGATTAGCTAAATATTTTAAAATATTTAAAGTAACTTTCTTCACATATAGTATCCTAAAAAATTAAATATATTATTACTTCTATTTCATATGACAGAACTGGTATTTCAAAAAAAAGATTAATATGCCAGAGGTAACTCAGTTAATATCAGATGACATAAGTCCAAGAGGTCTGAAATCAAGTCCTATACTCCAAAAAACCTATATAGGACAGCTGAATAGGTTTTAAGGGTAAATAAAACAAAAAACAAAAACCTTTTGTTCTACAATGCTGCTAGCAGTCTACAAATAGGATACAAAAAAATCTAGTCCTAGAAAAAACTTCTCAAAATATGATAAAAGGAAATGAGTTTTGGAGTATTAGAAATGGTGGACCTAAAACTTAAAATATGATGCAGACAGAAGCATTTCAGAATTAAATATCATCCCCAACAATATCATTCCTTATAAAATAATGCCATTGCTACTTACTAGGTGGCTTTAGCACTGCCTTGAACTGTTACAGTCAGAATAGGTATCCAAGTTCCTCTATATTCAAATGCTGGTAGCAATGTAACACCTCCACCAATCCCCACCATTCCTGAGTTAGCTGGTGCTGAGACTGGGCCACCTGAATTATTGTTTCCTATTAGGTAAGTGGGAAAAAGTGAAGATACTAATTTACCGCTTGATGAGAAATCATTAATACAACACCTAATTAATTTTTAAATTTTTTTTCTGGGGCCGGGGATTTAGCTTAGTGGTTCCACCGCCTGCCTCACAAGTGCAAGGTCCCAAGTTCAATCCCTGGTACCAAAAAAAAATTTTTTTTTCCTGTACCATGAGAATATTACACATACAAATGAAATTTATTAATCCTAATTTGTTTACCTGATAATCTATTCTCCCAAATGTAATTTCCTTTTTTGTATAAAAGCTACTAAAGCAGAATTATTAGGGTTTTTTATTATTAAATTTATTATTTCTTTTGTTGGCCTTCTTTAACCAGGCGAAATAAATAAAAATACAACCAATTCAAAGCAATAGAGAAAAAAGGTAAAGAGAAACAACAAATTATTTATACATTGATTTGCAAACAAACTTAAGCCATGTTAATATTTTCCATTTAAAGAGAGACCAACAGACCTCCTAAGGTAGTAACTACTCTTTAAAGAAAGGAATCAAATGGAGTTCCTTCTAAAAAGAAGAATCTAAACTTTTGTCCTCAAGTTATTAGAGGAACTAAAAGTATACCAGAGAAGAAAATCTATTCCAGAACAGAAAATATAGTTACCACAGTGCTGTCATATTATTCTTTGAATATAAATCTTTATTAATGTGTCCACATTTTTCTAGTCATGTGATTTCTAGAAAACAGCCTCTCGGGATAGAGAACATTGCAAATTATGGTAGAATATAAAAACAAAATATATTTTTACCAGCTTGGTTGGTTGTAGCAGGATTTCCAGTAGGAGGGACAAGAAACAAGGACTGGATAAAAGATCCCAGTGCATTCACAATATCACGAAAAACCTTGGTGGAATGCTGTTTCATATCATAGGACTGACAAAATGACCTGAAAAATATTTTAAAATACTTCAGGGAAAAACATTTGCATGTTCTTAACATTTTTTTTTTTACAGCAAATGTTACTAAATAGCTTCAATGCTATATTCAAAGATTCTTCATGACAGGTGAGTGATTTTACTAATTTAAGGAAGTCAATGTCTAAACAAATTATTTTAGTTATTAAATTCACTCAGTAAATTTATATCTTGCCCCCTCAATTCTTTTTTGCATACCTCCACCACACCCCTTCATATACATACAATATATAATTTTCTTTAAAAATCATGTATTTGGCAGGAATAAATACCAAACCTCTTCCCACTAGTTTATTAATCTGTGATTTTTCCTACTAGTTTCTTAACCCATCCAGTTAGCAAAATACTGCTGAGGTTTTACCTTAACAGCTGAGGCTGCACACAGAGTCTGTGTATTGATTCTACTGCAACAGCTCGTAGCCACTGTGGTTTATCTGCATCCAGAAACTTTACCAGAAGTGACAGAAATATCTCACATTCAGTTACCTGAAAAGTATATTTTTTATGTTTCTCTGAGTCAAAGAAAAGAATAATAAATTGTATTCTTGCTATTAACAGTGCCATGGACAAACCAATAAAATCTTTCAGATTTGAAATAAATTCTTAATGATGATTAGAGAAAAATGAGAGTAGTTTTCCATTAGTAGCTTTATCGTAAGGAAAAGTTAAGAGTAAAAATAATATTTCTAAATATATCCCTATAAATACTAGTGATCCAAAACATGGTTAATCCTTATTTTTTTAGAAAGGTACACCATCTTCTTCCCTCTTATTCTTGAAAATTGCCAATTAGCATGATGCACACTGCTAATAGGATGTATACTCTACCCTTCAGGAATATAACAACAGCTTTTCTATATTGCCTTTTATTAATTAAAAGTGATTCAGAGAGAACAGAGGCACCTAGCTCAGATGACAGAAATGGGAAAGAATAGGTACATCTTTACCTGAATGAGTGGGACATTTTAATTTCCTCTTGTCACTCTAGATAATAGTAACAGAACAAACCTTTGAATATTAGTTACCCTTACCTCTGGGCTACATGACAGAGATAAGCTGGTGCATCCTGGGGAGAGAACAAGATTCTCTAGGACAGTGTTTTCCAAAGTATGGCTGCTAGACCCCTTAGGGGTCCTTGAGACCATTTCTATGAAATCAAAATTATTTTAATAATAATACTATATTATTTGCCATTTTCAAGGTATTTGTCATTTGACCTGATGGTACAAAAGTTATGGTGGATATAATAGATGGTACCTTAGCAAGAATCAAAGCAATAAAACCAAACTGTGCTAGTACCATTGTATTCTTCACTGCCACCAACAATTAAAATATATAAATACACACTGTATAAATTTTACTTAAGAACAATAGTAAAAGTAAAATTAAATATAAAATATTGATTTTATCAAACCTGACCCTATGAGCAAGTCTTCTCATACTCTCTATTCCTCCTGACTTTACATGCTGACTGGTATTTCTATATCCTAATTATTTTTACTTTTACTATCTTGTCTACATTTTTTTTTTTGTACCGGAGATTGAACGTGGGACCTTGCACTTGTGAGGCAGGCGGTGGAACCACTGAGCTAAATCCCCGGCCCTTGTCTATATTTTTAAATATTTTAATTATAAAAGTACACAGTATGAAATTCACTCTCTTAATGATATTTAAGTAAGACAAAATGGGAAATGTACATGAAGTGCTTTTGCTGTGTATCAAAGTATAATGGGGGTCTGGAAGAAAAACAGTTGTGAACTGAACTATTTGCCTTTTTTCCCCTACAGAATTTGCTTCTCCAAGACTGCTTAGTGGACATAAAAAAAAAAAAAAAAGGAGAAATGCCTTCTGATAGTCTGATCTCAATTTACTAACATTATAGAAAGAGGAAGAAAAGCCTTTTTAAGGCAACCTTGCCAAGTCCTAGAGAACAAGTGGAGAAGTGGTATGTACTTGGCCTAGTGAAAGCAATAAAAACTTTCTGAACATTTTGATTACATGGCCTGGCAATTATTTAACAGAACTACAGCAACTATATTGGCCCATATACTTCTCTCTTTTTAAAAATCTCTCCATTCCCTTGCCACTTTCCATGCTATCTGGTGTTTCTATATCCTATTTATTTTCATTTTTACTGTTTTGCCTACATTTTTAAATGTTTTAATTATAAAAATACACAAAATGAAATTCACTTTCTTAATGTTTAAGTGTATACAGTTCAGTAATGGGTTAACTATATTCACACTGTTATGCAATAAAATTCTACCACTTTTTCATCTTTTAAAACTAAAACTCTATAACCACTAAATAGTAACTCCCCATTCCTTTCCCCCTCGGCATTTTGCAATCACCATTAAATGTCTATAAATCTGAGAAAAATGTATATTCTGAAAATGGGTGGGTGGATTACTCTGTATGTGTCTGCTAGGTACAATTGATTTGTAATGTTAAAATCTTATTTCCTTTTTGATCTTATTGATCTTGTGTGTACCCATCATTGTACGTAAGATACTGAAATCTGCTATGCTTATGTATCATCTTTTTGTTAATTAAAAATAAAGATATAACATGCTAAATCAAATTCAGCATTGTATAAGTTTTATCATAAAATTAGAAAGAAATATAATGTACCATTTTCTCTCAGAAGTATCATTTGAATGAAGAGTAAGCATTGTATTAACAAAATTGTGATCAGGATTATCACAACATATTCCATATCCACAAATTTATACATAATAGATACAATACTGGAATAGAAGTAAAAAAAAATTGACTTCTAATCTTTGATTTTTACCACATCTTTAACAGCTTTGCTGTAATCTGTTAAAACAGATAACACAGTATAAATTAAAAAAGAATACCTATATACCATAATTTTAATTATACTTCAGATGAGATATAAACTCAACTAAAATGCTGAATTCCTAACCCAGAAATTCTCTGATGCTTTTAGATACAGGTTATGACTCTCATTGACATAGGTTATAAATACTATATAAACATAAGCAAGATTCAAGAAAGGACAGAATGTTATCTTTAAAGTTCCTGGAAGAATATTGATAGGTACTCAAAAAAAATACTGAATTGAATTTTTAAAATTAATAGAGCACTATCTTTAAAAAAACCATTGCATACAATTATATACACAAAAGTATATGGAAATTAGCACTCACCAAAAGACTGTAAAACTGCTTAATCAGAACAGATACTACTCTCAGCAAACGCATGCAGATAGGAAAGTATGGTTTTTCAACTGGTGCTGGGGAAGATGAAGTACTGGAACCTTGTCTGAACTTTATATTTGGAGAAAAGAGCTTTATCACAAGCGGACACACCCTTTCTTTCAGGAGGAAGCTAAATTCCTGGTGCTATTTGTAAAGAAAAAAATAAAATTTAGTTTGTACTTAATACTTTAAAAACACAGTCTTACTCATAAACACAATTTGTTACTAATCAGCATAAATTTACTTAATTATAAGTTTATATTTTATAGTATAACTGTAAACTTCATATTGCTCTTAATCTTTTCACAAGTTGAGGAATTTTGTAGAGAATACTTAAATCTTATACAGTCATTGTATATTAGTATATTATGCAGAAAGTCTTCCTTAACCTGTTAATTCTGTCTATATTAGCTAAGAGCACAGACTCACTTTAGTGACAAGGCTTAGATAAATCTGCATTTAATAATTAACTTCAAGTATATCTTATTTTGTTGTTTTAATCATCCAAATTTCATGGAAGCTAAAAACAAATAATCATAAAAATCACTCAATCTAATCCTTTAATCTTAAATAAAAAGGCAAATAAATCAAAAAGCAGTTTTTCTCAGAAACAAAAGTTTTAAAAATATTTTTTAAAGATCTAATTTCAGAGGAAAAAAATCAGAAAATACAGATAAGTAGTAAAAATAAGTCTTGCCTAATCTTACCTCCTGCAGATAAGCTAATGATTGTTAACTTCTGATGTATACCCTTCATGATTTTTATATATGTTTTAATGTTCTTTTAAGTCTTTCCCCAAAAATGGACGTTAAGCATTAAGTGACCTGAAATTCTACCCTCACATCTGCAGTTAGTTTGACCGCCAATATTAAAGGTATAGTTAAGTGCATTTTCATTCATCACAAAAATCATTTTTATATATTAATATGTAAATATGTAGTTTATGAAAAACTAAAACAAAATTTCAAAACAAAAGAGACTAACAGTACACTGTGTATCATTATCTTAAAAGTAGTTACTCAGTATACCAGACATAGTTCTTAAAAGCTTTATCTATTCACTCACTACCCCACTCACTACAGTTGGTTTTCACCACCAAGTGCTTCAATAGTCATTGTGATCTCTGGCCAACTTCACCATACCAGACCTCTCTGAAGCACATCATGAGGAGGATTACTTGGTTGAAAATTTTTTTTACTTTTATCTTTTATTATATCACATTCTCATATTTGTTCTTGCTTCTCTGGCCTAAAATTCTCAATATTCTGTGCATGCTCATCTTTTCATGCCAGGTAATTTAATGCTGAAGTTCCTCAGAGTTCCAGAATATTAAGCCCTTGCTTTCTACTCCATGCTGTGACAAGTGACCTCACTCCTGTATCTTTAACTAGCAATGATATGCCAGCAATGTTTAAATTTATAATTTTGGCTTAAAATCCCCAAATGCAACTAATATCTTGCATGTCTCACAGATAACCCAAAATAATACATATTAAACTGAATAATCTATTTCTTTGAATAAAAATTCTGTCCATAAGTGTATTTCATCTTAGCAAATGGTTCACTGCTCAAGCCAGAAAGCCAGAAGTTATCTTTGAAATTCTTTTTCATCACCCACTACAATATTATGTTTATTTACTTATCAATTAATTGCTATTATGTGCTAGGTATAAGGATACAAAGCTAAGTACAATTTTCAATGTCCCTATGTCAATTGTCTCATGGCAAATGCTTTCAGAATGCCCTCTGAATATATTATGCTTTTCCAGTTCTCCCATCACTTCTTTTCTTTGTTATCTACTCTCCACCATGTTTGGTACCCATGCTATTCATTTCCACAGCACTATAACATCTTATTCAATTATTACCTTTCTCCCAATTAGACTTGTAAGAGCAAGGATTTTACCAGTCTTATCTAATTTTTCTATTCTTGGGAAGGCACACATAAACCAATATTGTAAATTACCAGTAAATTGTGGTTGAAAGTGTGAATGATTAGCAAAAGAAAACTAAAATTTATCTCTGGAAGAAAATTTTGCAGGATTAAATTCAAGGATCTTACACACAGTGATTATTTTATCTTCCTACATTAGAGGAGGAATAATAAAGCAGAAATTTTGTGAGAACAAAAAATCTGGAATAAATATTATGTTTCAAGAAGTGATAAATGCTGTTAAGAAAAAGGGAGAGGTAACAAACATAAGGGTGCTGGCATGAAATGAGGTGATCACTTTATACAGAGTAGATGGGGAAGATTTGTCTGGCAAGTTGTCAACTGAGCAAAGAAGTGTGAAAAGCATTCTATTCCTTGAAAACATAAATACACAGACCAGAGGCAGGAATCTGCCTGATAGCATTTAAAGAACAATATAAAGGATAATGTGGCCATAGGGTGAGAGAAAGGAGAAGAGTAAAGAGAGAAAAGATCAATGACTATTGGAGACTAAATAATGGTAAGGTCCACAGATTCTAATAAGGCTTCATCTTTTACTCTAAGTAAAGAAAATATCAACTGAAGGACTTTTACAAAGGACTAAAAAGATCTGACTCTTTTTAAAAGACCATTCTGAGTGTGGTATAACAAAATAACTACAATGAGGTAGGACAAGTATAGACACAAGGAGATCAGTTAGAAAGCTATGACAGTAATGCAGGTAAGAAGTGAAGATGGCTTGGACTATAACTGTGGTAGAAGTATAGACAGCAATCAAAAAGTAGTAGCTATTATTATGATTATCATTTCATATAAAAGACTGTTGGATAAGTTATACCTAAATACTGCTTATTATATTAAAATAAATGGAATCATCAGTAAATAATGTTCATTACAATGAAAAGCAATTAACAGTTCCCTAATGTGTACCAAAAATTATGAGCCACATAAAAATCATTTCAGTTCTAAGACCCAGGTCAAAAGATCTTACACTTTATGGCACTTGATTCACATAGTCTGTAGGTGGAGAACAAAGGATAAAGTGGATTACTCAGAGAGGGAGACAGTATGGTAAGGGAAGGGGCTACTTTAGTAGTTAAAAGACCTAAAATTTGGGCCCGGGGATTTAGTTCGGTGGTTCCAATGCCTGCCTTGCAAGCGCCAGGTCCTAAGTTTAATCCCCAGTACCGAAAAAAAAAAAAAAAAAGACCTAAAATTTATCTAAAAAGAACAGAAATGGTGTATGTGTCCACCTGGTACCACGAACCCAATTAATTGGACAGGCGATAATATCTTCTAAGATGCTTATGGTCCAAGCACTGACTGATTGGGAATCCTTCTCGCATCCTACATTCCCTCTTTTACCATTATTTATGCAAAAAGTTAGATGCTATGTAGACAACCTACACTTTAGCCTCTGGCATGACAAAATAAAGATTTTAATACTTTCTGGCTTAAAAAAATAAAAGTTATGAATTATAGCTCAAGATCTGCTAATAACTAAGGGACTTACAGAGATTACTGAATCAATTTTGGACTTCAGTTTTTCTTACAAGTAAAATGAAATGTTTGAATTCATCATTCCTTTTTCCCCTATTTTCTGTTTAAAATATTTTGAATTACACATTACATTTATTAGTTTTAACGACATTTTTCCATTAAGTTGTCAAAAAACACACAGATTTTGCCCAGTGAAGGACCATATGCCTATAGCTTCAGCTAGCTGGGAGGCTGAGGCAGGAAGACTAACTGAATGTAGGACTCAGAAGCCAGTCTGGGCAACAAAGAACAAGACCCTATCTTAAAAAACTAAACAAAACAGGGCCAGGGATTTAGCTCAGTGGTTCCGTCGCTTGCCTTGCAAGCACAAGGACCCGAGTTCGATCCCCAGTACCAAAAAAAAAAAAAAAAAACTAAACAAAACAAAAACCACATAATTATATATAAACAAGCAAAAAAAAAATCCAACAGTAATTCTTTTAAGGTTTTAGATATAAAAACAGCTCACATACATATTCCCTGATAGATCTATAGGTTAGAAGATACCTAACTAGATAAAGTCTCCAGGGATTTCTTTTAATGTTAAAATTTTAAAATGTTAAAGTCCTAAAAATGGTAAAAGAAACAGTACATTATCATACATCTATAGTCTGAAGCTATGTCTTTGCATCTTTTGATGTGGAAAACAAATATATGATGCTTTCTTTAAAAATATTTGTGAAAAAAATTAAAGATAAATTTTGTTATAAGACAGTCTTGATGGCTTACATGTAAAAAGACTTGTGGAAAATCATTGAGGACTGACTCAAGCAATTCGAGGCCAAATGTCCGAGTCATTTCCGTCATGCCCACTAGCCAGTAAGGGGCATCAGCATTAACCAACTGACAAAGGTCCTGGGAAAATAAACAATTTCATGTGCTATAGTGAAATATGCTTTTTAAAACTCACAGTTCATAAACTTCAAAAAACTCTCTTCATTAGAAACAACATCAATAATTCAAATTGTGTATTTGACAGATTATATAAACATATAGAATCATATAACTAGTGACAATATATAAACAAATGATTTATCTTAAAGTAATATTTTATCATGTTAATTAGCTATACAAAAAATACAGAAGCTGTTTTTTAATCTTTCATAAATATTTAAAGTTTCTACGTTTTTAATTCTACATTAAAATCAGATATAAAATCCAAAATCAAAAATTTAATAAGAATTTAAATTTTTTTAAAATCAAAGACACACAAAACTATAATAAAATTATTTCTGTTAACTGAAGTACCTGGAAGAGCATATATGCATCTTTAGCACATGGTTTGAGGGTACTGACAGATCTCCTGTTACTATTGCCTTGGACTGGTACTGGTTGTTCTATGTCATCTACGATCATAATGGGATAGGCTTTAGCAGTTCATAATGGCCTTTAATAATCATACATTCTACTTAAAAGGTATGGTTTAAATAAATACTTGTATATAATTACAAACCTTATAATTTCAGAATTGTATCTTTAAAATGAAACAATGAGAATCTATTTTTATACAAATGTCATAAAAATCACTCTTCAATATGTTATATTCACTTTAATAAGCTTACAGTATCTACATTTGATTTGTCTAGTCCCCCTCATTAGCCCCTTTATCTCATGGATATGAAATTGACATGATCTTTGAATGTGCCTTCAAATATCAAATATATAAAAGTTTATCATATTGTTAATTCCTCTACCATCTCATCATCTTCAATAGAATTAACTGTTTGATCTACATTCTTACTATGTCAGTTAAGATATTCACTTGCTAAGAGCTACAATGGTGTTTCCCAACTCAGCACTTTTTCCACTACTAATAAAAGATATCATTATCTGTAAATAAGGACAACTGATTTTATATAAATATTGATTTGATGCTTACTTGCAAAAGGTCCTAAGTATTTTTTATCTTACTTGATAGTATTTAATGATATATTAAATACTTTAGAGATACGTAGCTAAACTACCAATCCAGGAATTATATTGAGGTTATGAATATATAAGATGCTCAAACTGAAGAACTGTCCTATTTTTATATAATTTTGACTATTTTAAAAATGTAATAATCTATAAGATTAACTCCCTAACATTTCAAACTATTAAAATTCCACTTGCATTTTTCCTCAAAAACCAATACAGAAAAATCACATACCAAATCTGACCAATATTTAATTTTAAGAAAAGTACTTATTCGAGTAGGCACAATTACCATTACCTATTATTATTGCTAATTTTTACAGTATTGCCAAAGAACATCAAATTCAAAAGACTGTATAATATTGAGAGTTTTTAAAAAAGAGAAACAATGTGAGGGGAAAAGTAATTAAATATATTTTCTTGACTACATAAGAGATTGCTCATTACTGTAGCACCTTGTGATCTTTTCAAATAATTGTGGGAAAAATTTACTTTTCATCAAATAAAGGTAAAACCTGAAAAAAAGTAATCTCTACAGCAATGAAGTCATCAAATTACTGAAATTATAACATGTCAAAATGGAATATTTGTCATCTCTCTGAAAAGACAATTTTTTTAGTTTAAAAAGTTTCTAAAATGATAATAAAGATACTTACTAAAAATATAAAAAGATTATTCTTTATAACATGTGGTACCTATTCAAACAGTGAAAAAATATTTGAAAGAAGACATTCAAACAGTTTAAAATATCAACCACCACCCAAGAGTCCAACAGACTTGTTCATTAAATTGTTGAATAGCCACAAAAATATAATGCAACTACTAAAATTTAAATTATGTGGATAAAAAACAAAAAATTCACAGAATGTAATGTTTGACTAAAATGTGAAATTATCAGCTTCAACACAAAATTATGCACATACAGAAATATGGACATGAGTTACTTCTAAGAGAGATAAAATTGTGACTTCTAAAAAATTCCCAATATTAATACAGTGATATTATTAAACATTTTTAAAGTTTTCTAGTTTTTAGGTATTAAATTCATAGGGCAAAGGCTGAAAATTAATAAAAATGAAATCATGCATGTAAAAAAATCACCCACAGTCAAAAAGAAGTAATTTTTATCACTTCACCTTTGTGGCGTTCATCTTCAGCAACCATTCTCTCAAAAACAACAGTAACAACTTGTCGCACTGTAGCAGCAGCTGTATTATTTGTAATATTATCTTTTGTGAAGTGTAGTCGAAAACAAAGGACGATTGCCTAAAAAAAGTTTTCATTTGGTATGAAGTAAGACTGAAGAACATGGCTACTATTATTTTATTAGATGTAACCTAAAATTAAATGACATTTGGTTGTTTCAGAGACATTAAAAGTCCCACATTTTTACACAATAAAACTACAAAAATTCTCAGATTTTAAAATAATTCTCTCAGCAAATATACAGCTATATGATTAACTTAAATATGAAATATCTTTTAAAATTTGTTATTTTAATGTGTATAGAATGTGTCATGCTTTTATTTCCTCTGAATGACTTGCTTTGCAAATAGCAAGTAGTCAAAATCTGTAATATCACTAAATCATTTGAAGCAATATTACACAAATTGCTAAGCATATAAATAAAACGCTTTTTTAAATAAGAGCCATTCCTTTTTCTCATTAAATTCAACTTAAGATGCAATTTCCATTAAAAATGGGTCTTAACAAGCATATAATTTGATGAATTCTGACTTATATATTGGACAATGAAAATATGGACATAAACGCAAACAGAACATTTCCATCACCCCATAAGTTTCCTTGGGGACATTTACAGTATATCTCTTCCTCCACCATTGGCCAAGGTAGCCACTTAAACTGCTTTTTTCACTACAGATTAACCACCATCGGGTACAATTTTATATAAACAAATTCATTCAGAATGCATTTTTTGTGTTTGTCTTCTTTCACTTAGAATAATATTTGTGACATTCACCTGTTATTCTATTAGTAATTTGTACCCTTTTTATCGCTGGCTAGATTCCATGGTATGTGTATACCACATTTTGCTTATCTGTTCATCAACTGATAGACATTTGGGTAGTTTTCAGTTTTTGGTTGTGAATAAAGCTGCTATGAACATTCATATGTAGTCTCCGCAAAGAAATACCTTTTCATTTACATTGAGTAAATCCCCAGGAGTAAAATGGCTAGGTTCATGGTAATATGGGTTTGACTTTCTAAAAAACTGTCAGTTTCCCAAAGTAAATTTATAATTTGATATTCCTGTCAGTAGTATGTATGAGTTCAGAACTACTTATATCCTCTGGGATACTTGATCTGGTCAGTCTTTTTATATTTTAACTATTCTAATGGACATGTAACAATAACTTCTGTGGTTTGAATTTTCATTTCACTGATAAGTTTTCACAGTGAGCCTCTTTTCATATGTCTGTTCACATTTGAATATTTTATTTTGTGAAGTATCTGTCAAAGTAATTTTTTCATTTCTTACTCAAGTGTCTTCTTATAACAGCTCTTTATATAGTCCACATACATATCCTTTGTCAAATATTTGTGAATATTTTCCTCCATTTTGTGGTTTCTTTCACAGTTCAAAGATTCTGTATCCTAAGAAATCCTAATATCACAAAGATTTTTCCCCTATGTGTTCTTCTAACAACTGTATAGTTTGAAAATAAACCATTCTTGAAAAAATTTAATGGTAGTTTTGATTATATGGTTTATTACTTTAAAATTTTAAAGGAAATAAGCCTTTGATACAAATATTACTCTTTATATTTCAATATAAAGGAAAGGGACATTCAATAGTTGTACATAAACTTGAATAATGCTCAATTTTTTTTTTTTTTTTTTTTGAGACAGGGTCTTGCTCTGTAATTCATTCTGGCGTTGAACTTAGTACATAGCCCAGGCTGGCCTTGAACTCACTGAGATCCTCCTGCCTCAGCCTCCCGAGTGTTGGGATTGCATGCGTGTGCCACCATGCCCAGCCATATAATTTCTTTATACCTGATTTTCATCCTCAATTATTTCAGTTCCAAGTAGCTAACATGCTAAAATAAATCCTACAATCGATTCTTATTTCTTTAGTAAATAAACTGATAATCATTTATAAAATCTTAAACATCTGTATCAGAACAATAATAGCTAGAAACCAAGAGGAACTGTATGTAACAAAATGTATACTGTAAATACATAAACATTGTAGGGCCAGAGATTTAGCTAAATGGCACTACACCTGGCTCACAAAGCGCAAGGTCCTGAGTTCGATCCCCAGTATATAAAAAAAAAAACTTAAACATTGTATATAACACATACAACCTTAAAAGAATAAACTATTAGCAATTAAGTAAAATCTTACTGAACTACAAACATCAAATGAATGTGAGAGACAGATATACTCGAGATAACATAGTTTAATGTGACACTATATACTATACTTCTCTATTTTAAAAGCCATCCATCCTTAAAAGCATGCAAATTATAATGAAACTATTACAGAATGTCCAAAATATTCCTTAGACAGTAAATCATTAAGACTGTTCTTTATATTATTCTTTATTTTCTGTTCAGAAGTATTTTGTAATAAAAAACTTTTTATAGATTTAAATAGATTGGGAGGAAGAAAGAAATGAGAAATAGCTATCATATATGCAGCTTTATCCAGTATAAATGCTGAAAGGAGACTTCTCTAGCCACTTAAGAGACAGATTTGAACCATCTGGTTTATATAATACATACATATGAAATTATTTTTAAAAGAGAAGGGAGAGCTATCACAGGGAACCTAAACTACTGAAGGCAAAACCATACCACACATTTTCCCTCTTTATTCTGATTCTTCCACAGCTTTTCGCTTACTTTTCTATTTCCTATTAATAACTAAACCCATCAGCAACACCCAAGGGGCTCTGAAAATGATTTTAACTCTCATCTGGAGAAAGTAAGGCATCAATGGCCGTTAAAGTGCAATGCTGATCATCATAATGGCTACAGGGAAGTTGGGTTTAGCTCCAAGAGCACAAGGCTTTTCTCTTTCAGCCAGCTTATTCAAATACTTTCACAAACCATTTATAAACTCTGACAAACAGGACTCCTACCTTAGAAAGCGCCTCATCATGAACTACTGTATTGGTTGTTAAAAGAACAAGAACTGTTTGAAGTAGCTTAAGTTCTTCAAGACTATTTTCCATTAGCTGCCAAAGCATGTTGATTATATTCCCAGCGGCAGTCTGTAAAATAATTTTAATTGTCATCAACAAATAAAACACAGGTGTTGAGGTTCCCAAATAAGAAAAGGTGCACAAACCTTGCCTCATCTGGTGGGAGTTTCTTGATCATAGTAAAAACAAAACAAAATAAAATACGTATTTTAAGGTCCACAGATCCAAACTCATGTCTCAATTAATTTGAGACACAACCAATTAATTCTCTTCTTGAAAAAAGTAAGTTTCTTTAAAGATGTAATATAGCAAATAGTAGCATGCAGTTCTAAATCTAGCCAAAACTCAAAGCTCATTTCTACAGCACATGGGCTTTTGTTTATCTGGACATGAATAATATAGACATACTCAAATTAACTAGGAGTCCACTATTTCGTATATATTACTTTATATTATGTTATATAACATGAAAAGTCCCCCAAATTAACAATACACTATATACTCAATTAAAGCTGACATTATTTAGGATGCTAAGGGCAAAATAATTGGCCACTTCTATAATAGCACCTTACAGAGAATAAAATTAAGGTAAAACCATTAAATTTGTAAGCAAGATACAGGTCCATGATAATGATATATATTTTCTTGTTTTGCCATCATCAAGTTATATACAAACATTTAAGTTAATGAACAATATATTATCACTACAGATCATCTAGGAAAGTCATTTTCCCACATACTTTTTAAAAATATTATGTTATATTAGATAACTACTGAATAATACTGAAAACTGGCTTAATTCTAAACTTATCACTTATATTAATGAAATGTGACTTCTCAGATAACAAATAACTTGACAAAATGTATTTCATTTTGTTTTTTTGGTACTGGGGATCAAACTCAGGACCTTGTGCTTGCCAGGCAGGCGGCACAACCACTGAGCTAAATCCCCGGCCCTGAAGTTAAGGATAAAGTTTTTGTTGTTGTTGTCATCTTTATTATTTATGAGTGCTTTAAAATGAAAAAAACTGACAGTTATTTTAAAATTAAGCTATTTTCTTCAAGTGCATTGACATTCATAAAACTATTTTACATTAAATATTAGGTATGTTTCATTCATCCGTACGAAAACTAGCGATCTGACTCCTATACACAGTTCAGATAAAATCTTCCTATTACCTCAGATACAACTTCATGTGACATGAGTCTCTGGATGGCGGCCAAACACAGCTGAGTGATCTTCGGTTCCTTTGTTCCACAACCCATTAGGAAAGGCTGTACAACCTCTGAGCTGTTTTCTTTCAATGCTTTATTTAGAACACATATAAGATAAATTATTACATCTAAATCATAATTAGGAATACATTTTATATAATTACAACCAGTGACAACCTTAATAAAAACCACTTTATATAAAATAAACACCAATAAAAATCACATTAATAGAAGTTAAAAATATAGTACACACTGTCTAAACTATACCCTTTATGAAAGCTTTCCCATGCCTCTGTCCTAATACTCTGTACTTCGTTTCTTCTCTATCTTCTGCTATAACCTCTTTAAGGATATGTATTTCCAACAGTTTAGAGAAAAACTATTTCTTCACATAGAGCTGGAGGGAAAATAAATAGGAATTCATACTCTAGATCAGAAAAAATAGTATTAAATTACTATTTTAATAGTAATTAAAAATAGTATGCATATCATCCCTACCACACTTGTGGATGAATATTCAGAAACTCCCTAGAATTTCATTACATGCCTTGAATTTGCATAGTTCTAATTTCTTCTTCAAGAAATAAACACATCTCCTTAAAAACAATAGCATTTCTCTTCTTATTTCTCAGATGGTACTTTGAAATAACTGGACACACAAGCTGTAATTCCAAACCCCCAACTCCTTCTACAAAGCTAATTCTATGAGATATCTTAAAGGGGCAAAAGTTATAAAGACATAAATCCAAGTTTTTCAAAAGAAATTGAGACAGTCATCCAGAATCAACATTAAAAGGCAAAACCAGGACTGACATTAGTTTTATTGTTTCAATCCCACCTTTCTTTTCCCAAAGCTCTCTTTATGGTACAGTAAATTAAGACTACGATTTCCTATAGCATGCTCTACAAACTACTTTAGTATGTCAGCATTACTTAACTGATTCAACAGCTAAGGGATGGCAAATATGACTGACAAAGAGCAGTTTTTCCAAAAAAACCCTCCCTCTCCTTTCCTTGCTTTCTCGGGCACAAAAGTTTTAACTCAAACCCAGAGATATAAATTTTCCAAACCATGACTCAAAACATTAATGTGAGTGATTAAATATGACTGTAAAGCCAATCACGAAGCTTTAATAGTAATTAAATATCCAGTCTAAGTCCACCCCTATCTCTGTTGAACACTCTCATTAAATGTTCAGACAAATTAAAATTTTTCAGTAACAAGGTAATTTGTAATTTCTGACATTAGAATGTGTTTCTCATTTAAGTACCACAATATTCTTACAGTTAAAAGGGCTTGATTTGGCCTACATGACTCAATAGGTAAGTGGTAAAACCAGAATTTGAAGATATTTGAAGAATTTGAAGTCTTGTAACTGCTGATTCACTATCCTCCACACAACGTTATGCTGCCACTCTTTAAAGTAAATAGCATCCTGAGGATAATGGAAATTAAAAGAGGGCTCAGTCATCTGCACTTTAAAACTGTCTGCCTAAATTCTTCAGATAAACAAAGGATCATAAAAAAAATAATGTACGTTCTTAAGAATGTATGTCTAAGAGGCCAATGATTTCAAGATACATTTGCAATATCATAAAATAAATGTCAATTAAACAATGAGAATGCTGTTTAATCATTTAGAATTTTTCTTCACAATTTCATCTCCTGTACCATCAAGAGCTTGGGGGGCCAGGGATTTAGGTCAGTGGCACCTTGCCTGCCTCACAAGCTCAAGGTCCCAAGTTCGATCCCCAGTACCAAAAGAAAAAAAGAGCTTGGGGATATCTTATTTTTTGAAAGAGTACTTCATCATTGTTTCTGAGATTTTTCTTCTAAGCCAATGACAACCATTCTGCATCTTTTGATGCTGGCATTTTTTTTATGTTAAAAAAGTTTTTGAGAACTATGGTGACATTCTAAATAGCAAATAAACTCAATATATGTGGCCACAACAAATGCACATAACTCAATAGATGTGATAATATGATTAAGTATGAACCAATTCACACACACACCAAGAAAGAAAACCACACCACAAACTGGCCCACAGTGATTAGGAGATGACATCAACTATAAGATGCATGGCATTGTAGGGGGTATTACAGGTGAAAAAATTGTGTAATTTAAGAGTCAATAAATATGGTGCATCAGAGTGAAATATTGTATGCATGTCCAGTTATAATTAGTTAGGTCTATTATGGTGAGATAAATCTAAAGTAATAATAATTTTTTTAAATTTTATTTTAACATAAAGGAATCAAACACATTTCTTTCTACTTTTTTCCCTTTCAATTTATATGAGAATATCAAAGCAAGTTTTTTTATGTTATTCTAATAGATGATACAAAATAACTGATGTATCTATTCTACATCTTTTGAAGCACAGTTGCAAAAACAAAAACATATCTGGAGCACAACTCAGCAGGAGAAAGATTAGAAGAAGAAAAAAGTTACTGATGTGTTTTTCTTCTTTTAAATGTAAAAGTGCCCAGGAAACTAAAATTAATCTGACTGAGTACAGTATATAGTGACTCTCTATATACAATAATTGCAATGATTATATTTAAGGGTAGTCTTATGTAAATGCCTTTGCAGAGGAAGAGATTTCAAAAAGCATGTTGAGGAAAATACTATACGGCAATGTAAAGGCATCTGGCATTAACCATTTCATATGTCATTCCAGAAAAAAAATAGAAAAGGTTGTTTTTTAAAATCAAAACACTCTAATGTAGTTTCCATGAAAATATAAGAACAGGTTTTTGTGGGAAGAAGAGAAAAAGTTTATTTTCCACCTAAGTCCCTTAATAAGTGTAACTCTTTAACAGAGTAACACTGTGTGTTTGATATATGTTGTTATTTCCAAATTATGCAACTGTGAGATCAAATGATGTGCTTTCACACACCTGGAAGAGGTCCAACAGGTCCCCATATCCTAAGGGTTTCCTTGCTCTGAGCATTTTCACTGCATAATTAGTTTTTAATCCTGAAAAAAAAGAATTAAACTAGGATACCCCACTATAAATCACATTAACAGGGGTTAATAAAAAATTTACTGATTAATTTTAACAGATATTAAATAAAAAATTTTAATTCTTGTGAAGGAAATGTGACTTAGATATCACTTCTATCTTCAAAATATCTAAAATCTGGTTCTGAGGGAGACTACTATTTCTACAACATTTTAAAATTTTAATGGATTCCAAAGGTCCAAAAATATATTCAAATAATGCAAGAAAAAGAGAACAAATAAAAATATAGGCAGTTTCTTAATAAAAGCACCCAGAAGAAAGGAAAGAGTTATTTAACAAATGATGTTGGTACAATTAGCAGTTCTGCAAAGGAAAAGAACACTAGATCTTCAGATCACTCCATATATTATAAAATAAGAAAAAAAATGAAGCCATAGAAAAAAACTAAAAAAAAAACCAAACCTATAAACTCTGTAGAAGGAGAAGGGCATCCTAAATGTAAAACAACAAAAGAATTCAGAAAAAATTAGAACATGTAAAAATGAAAACAACCAATATTAAAAAATTAAAAGGTATACGACCTGGGGAAAATATGGGAAGTTAATATGCTCACTATATAAATAACTCAATCTGATAAGGAAAACAAAAATTCAAAGAAATGAATGAAAAAAGAAAATAATCTAATGCATATAGTATGTTCAGTGTCAAAAAGAAATGTCAATTAAAATGAGAAGTTGTTTGCCAGTTCAATTACCAAAGTTTTTAAGAAAATAATAATAATCCTGGTAAGTATGTGTTATGGGTTGTATCTAGATGTACCCCCAAAGCCTTATGTGATCATAGGTGGAGCTTTTTGGAGGTGACTGGATCTAGAGTTTGATGCTAGGATTAATGATGTGATGCTGGGAATGATTCATGGCACAATGGTAGGATTAAGGCTGCCCAATCCTAAGACTGTGTAGCCTGGATAGAATATAAGGGAAAGAAAGAGGGCTGCTGTTGTTGCTGCTTGCCGTTTGCTGCTTCTTCATTACTTCACTACTTTGCTGCCTTCCGCCCACCATGAACTGTTTCTCTGTGATGCCCTCTTCCGTGCTACCCTGCCTTGGAGCCAGCCAACTACAGACTGAAATCTCTACCAACTGTGAGCTACAGTAAACCTTTCCTGCTTTAACTTTGGCAGTTGGGTATTTTTTCTCAGCAATGTGAAAAGTAACTAAGACAGTATGTTGTAACACACTCCCATATTGTTGGTAAAGGGATTAACTTTTACCTTTCCAGAAATAAATCTGGTAAAACATTCCAAGAACTCTTTATATATTCATATCCTTTAACTTTATAATTTTATTTCTAGAAATTTACCATAAAGAAATCTAAATACCAAAATACACCTAAAATAAAGGCGCTACAATCCACTTGTCAAAATATGGTGGGACAATTGAAAACATTTAAAAAGATGACATCAAATGCTTACAAGACAAGATGCAAATTAAAATTTAAAATAGTGCAAGGGAAAAAATAAATAAAACCATATTATATTGTAAATAAACTGCAATCTCTCTGGCCCAAAAGGTCAACATGTTATATACAGCCCATGCCTTCTAGTCTGCATAGTCTCATTGAAATAGTCTAACAGACCTCTGCTTCAGTGATGATATTCTCAACTATATCTTCCTTCTGTCATAGGGATTTTAAAATACAAATATAAATATGTCATTTCCTTGATTTGAACTCTTTCCATCAGCTGCTTGGGATATCATATTATGCCCTGATGATCTCCCTACCCACTCCTTCTTCATACTTTATGGTCATACAATTCATAGTGTGTCCAAGTAATACCAAGCTGTTATTCTATACCTCCTGTATTTGTTTAAATAGTCCACATTTTACTTTATTTGCCTGGCTAACTTTTCTTCAGGCTTTAAATGTTAGCTTCAGCTTCCCAAGGTAGACTAGGTACCTTCCTTATGTTCCTATAACTCTCCTATTTATATTTCCATCTTGGCATTTACCACACAGGTTAGAATCCCATATTTAGGTCTGTCTCCTTTATTACTATTATCTGGTTGTAATCACCTAAACATAACAAAATTCATGAACTCACATAACTATAACATGTAAAATTAAAGAAAGGTAGAGAAACATGCTAGAAACAGTACTCAGGGTCTTGCAGCATAATGTGATTCATTTATCAGCCTATACTAAGCCTATTAATAAAGCTTTTATTATTTCCCACATAATGTAATAATACTGGTGATGTAATATGGATAATAAAATAATGCTGTGATAATATTGGTACTATAGGAAACAACAAAATGTTGACCCTAATTTCAAGGAGTATGTCATCTGGAAAGTTTCTGGCAAAGGACTTCAAATAAAATAGCAGGTAAGTGAAACACAATGAATGGCATAAACATACTTGTCAAGTATATTTCTTAATTCCATATAGATTGCAGGTGAATTACACTGCCCACCTATCTATCTCCCTGATTATTACATAATGATTTACTTACTAACAATATCTTGTATGATAAATTTTGTAGCTCTTTGTAAAATATCAGGAGTTCGTCTATTGATAAAATAGAATATACTACAGTAAGCAGATAAATTACCTTTTAGGTCAGAAAAAAAATCCCAAAATGTATTTACTCATTGCTAGTTAAATTAGAGACCTTTTAGTTATAGGACTATGTAGACATGAAAAAGATGAGGAAAAAAAACCACATGAGAAAAGAATATAAATCATATACAATGATTGTTCATGTAAAAATTCTATATGTATACTGACAATAGCTGAAAGCAGCCATGGATAGATTTAACTGTTACGGTTTTAGTTAGGGGTTAAATGTACAATTTTAAAAGATTACAACATCATTGCTATCCTCATTATGAATATACATTCAAAAAGAAGATTATGTAATTTTTGTGTAACATTTTCTCAATTTCTAATACACTCTAAGCTAGGATAATAACAATTTGTAATATATAGCAGTCGAATGTAAGTTTAAGGCATTTGCCTTTGTAAATAAAAAACTACGTTGTTGTCACTCATTTATGGAGTTTTCTCATTAAAGAAAAAGGAAATTTTGAGATAATGACCTGAATATCTTTTTTTTAACTGTATAACCTTTTATTGGTACATTTTAGGTATACAATATGACATTCATCATTGGAAATTCGTACTTTTACATATTCTCTTGGTTCTTATTTTTTCCCCCTTCCCCTGCCCTCCCTTCAACCCCTCCATTCCTCCCTATTTACAAAGACTTTGTTTCCTTTTTCATTTTCTCATATTAATTCCATTCCCTTCTTTCCTTTCCCCTACCCCTCCCATTTCCCCTTCCCCTTTGCCCCTTTCCTTCCTATTTCACATTATCTATTATACTTTTAGTCCTTATTTACACTTTCAGTTTCTCACACTAGAGAAACTATTCAGTATTTACACGTATGTCCTATTTATTTCACTTAAGAGTATCAACTCAATGTGCATCCATTTAGAAATAAATGTCTCTCTCATTTTTTATGGCTGAGTAGTACTCCATTTTATAAAAAAACCACATTTTCTTTATCCAGTCCCCAGTTGATGGGCATTTGGGCTGTTTCCAAGTTTTAGCTATTACAAACTGTGCCGCTATGAACATGGGTGCACATATATCACTGTGGTATGACTCTTTTAATTCTTTTGGGAAGATACCCAGCAGGGGAATAGCTGGGTCAAATGGGACTTCCATTCCTAGTTCTTTAAGGTATCTCCATACTGATTTCCACAGTGGTTGCACCTGTCTACACTCCCACCAGCAGCAGAGCAGGGTTCCTCTTTCTCCACAGCCCCGCCAACATTTGTTATTAGTTGATTTCTTGATAGCAGCCATTCTTTCTGGGGTGAGGTGGAATCTCAGTGTTGTTTTCATTTGCATCTCTCAAATGACCAGTGATGTTGAACATTTTTTCATATGTTTATTTGCCATTTCTACTTCGTGTGAGAGATGTCTGTTCATTTCAGATGCCCATTTTTGGATTGTGATCTGAATATCTTAATCAATGCTGACATTACCTGGCATAGCATTTCCACTGTCAGCATTCATGACAGCAGTGAAAACAATTAAAAATAAACATTAAAGGAGGATGCTTAAAAGAAGGGGAGATGTAAAGCAAAGATTTATTCTGCAATATAAATGACTTTTCTATGGAAAATAAATCTAAGAAAACTAAAGCTGGCTAAAAATCTATGTTGAATATCATTAATTAGTTTATTCTAATTCAGGATTCTGATTTTTGCAGCAACTCTATATTTTCTGAATATACAGAGACATATGGGAATTCAAGGTCCCATCTCATTGTTTGGGATCTTTTATATCACAAAAAATAGTATTCTATATTTTCAAGTATTATAAAGAAGTAAATAAGCTGGGCACAGTAGTGCACACCTTTAATCCTAGTACTCAGGGAGGCCGAGGCACAAGGATGTCAAATTCAAGTTCCACTTGGGCATCTTAGCAAGACTCTGTCTCAAAACAAAATTTTAACAAAGGGCTGGGGATGTAGCTCAATGGACAGCATTCCCTGGGTTCGATCTCCCAGTAGCATAAAAAAGTAAATACTTCTTAAAAATTGTTAACTAAAAATTTTTCTCAATATTCACTGTACTCTGAATTAACTACATAATTTAGTAACTATACAATGAATAATTTGAATCATTTGTTTTTAAGAGCCTTTGATTTTCAAGATGACATTGATCTATTAATCTATATTATTTAGATTATCAATTGCTATAAATATTTGTTTAAAATAGTAGGACAAAGTTTAAATGCTAGTAACTTCCTCATGTACATGGGTCTGGAAATTACAGAGATTAATACATGAATTATTGTATGTGCATAAAAACATGTTCTAAATTGATGTGAATAAAACTAACAAATTAAAATTGTAACAGCCCACTTTTAAACTCAAAGCAACTAACCCAAAATTTCTTACTCTTCCTTAGGATTAACTTAAATTAGACATTTTATTTTGTATAGAACTCTGGAAGTAATTCTTGGAAAAAATCAGTCTTTTATCTTCCATCAACTACAAAACTAATGAAAACCTCAATTTTGGAGAGTAAAGACTTACCATGATATCAGCAATGATAACAGCAAAGGTAAATATTACAATGGTATTCTAATATGAATGACTTATATGTTTCCAACTTAAAAATATCCATGTCATAATTTATCTTTAAACACTACTATCCCACAGTAGCTAATCAACCCAACATATATCTCCCAAAACATAGTAACCGCTTATTCTCTTAAACCAACCCTACATACCTTTGCCTTTACCCACCATGTTCACTATACTCCTCAATATGCACACAGAGCATTTTTCACTGCTGTAACTAATGTTACAAAACTATTTGGTGCTTTTGATTGACTGCTGAAAATCGGGGAAGAAGCTGTGAGATGTAGGCAACTTAGGAGAACTAACCCTAGGGACAAATTTCCAACAAGCCTAGTAGCCTCCCAAGCTGAAACTGCATCTCCCAAAAACAACTTTATTTCTTTTTATAACACTGAAATCTCACAAATTAGTTTACTGGTATCCTTTCTAAGTGTAATATCTGGAAGAGTTAAATAAATTCTTTACTATTTAGACTTTGTGTAAATTAACTATGTAAGACCTCTTTTCTGCTACACTATTTAAGATCAAAGGCATTACTGGCACTGTATATGCAGACTAAAAGATCAATGTAGTAAGCAATGGTTAAGTATGGAATAGTTGGAGGGAGTAGCTAGTGTGAAAACCTTGAGATAGCATGGCTGCATATTGCAGGAAGAAGAACACTGGCTCTGAACATACCTGGCTTTGAAACTGGTTCCATTACTTGTCATGTGACCTTGAAAAGTAACTTAAATCTCTTTGCATCTCAATCTGCTCTACTGTAAAATAGTATTTCCCACAAGATAGTTTTCTATAGGATAGAACGGTACAAGTACCTCACATACAGCACAGTCTCAAAAAAGAAAAGAAAATGAACAAAAAAGTTGCCCTTATGTTCATGTTCATTACTGAGGTAAGATGAGAAAGCACCAAAGAAGAAAAAGGAGTAGCTGAGAAACAAAACAAATAAACAAAAAAATGAAACTAAAGGTAAACTCTTGAAAATTCCTCCTTGAAAATCAATTTCAATCAAGAGAAGATTAAAAAGGAATTCTTTCTTTTTCCAAACTACTCTCATTCCCTCTTCACCTAAAACCCAAAACTTATATGGTAGTGGGGCCAGGGATTTAGCTCAGTGGTTCCATTGCCTGCCTCGCTAGCGCAAGGTCCCAAGATTGATCCCCAGTACAAAACAAACCCACTTATATGGTAGTATTAAATATACAAAACTACATTGTGAACTGTTTATATTGTGTTAAGGAAACTAGATCTTGAAAGATGAACTAAGACTCAATCTTTCATTTAATTTCATGTAATGAATATTAATTGAATGACTTTTGTGAATAAGGTGTGTCTTAGGTAAGTGGGAAGAGGCAGAAGTAAAGATGAGTAAGAAAAAACTCCTGGGCTTTAAGAAATTAATAGTTTTAAGTATTTTTACTTCAGAGAATTTTACAGCTCTAATCTCTTAGGAACATTCACACGTTCTATATCATTATGGAAAACCTATGAAAAAGAGATGAAGCAGAAAATCAATGGCGTTAAGACTGCATTTTTACTATTAGTCTATTTTTCATTAATTGTTGAAGTTGTAACACAAAAAATTACCTGCCAAAATTTCGGTGTTTCTTGCAGCTATTGTTTTAACTTTTATTATTCCTGATTCAGCAGCCTGCAAGAATAAAAATAATTTAAAAACAAAACTTATTATCAACATGAATTATCTAGGGAAAAGCAGTCAGTCATATATGATATATAAAATTAAAAGCACAAACAGAATCAGTCACTAACATCCTTTTTATTTTCAAAATATCAGACACTAAGCCCAGTAGTGACTCCCACACATTATATATAATAAAATTACATATGCAAATGGCATGTTACCTTCTTCTGCCTTAATATATATCTGTAATACCTCAATACTTTATAAATTGAGATGGTCGGATAATAAAAATAACACAAACAAAACCTAAGGAAAAAATTAGATTCTTCTTCCCCATTTCACATCTCCTCTCCCTCCATCACAAAAAATTGCACAATGCTGTAAAATAACAAGTGCTGTTTTCTTTTCTTGAAAATGGATAATTAAGCACTTTGTTATTGCTCTTTAAACTTCTTCAATCATTTTAGTTTTTATAATACATCTAAAATACTTTATCATAGAGTGTTTAGCTGGTAGTAACTGCAAGTCATAAGCATTTTACAAAATACCACAAAATGACTCTACAATATGGTAGCCCTTGGCTACACATAACTATTAAGCACTTTGATATATAGCCAGTGCAAATTGAGTTGTGCCTTAGGTGTAAAATACACACTATATTTTGAAGATTGAGTACGTAAAAAAAGTAGAGGAACAAAAATGTCAAAGTAGTGATCAACAACAAAATATAGCCTCTCCAGGACCCGGAAGCCAGAAACCTGGAAAGTAACTTGGTGAAGAGAAAAAAAAAAGTATATCTCTGGGAACTGAGAGGAAACTGATAGGAAAACTAGAAACTATAGAGAAGCTAGAGAAACACAGCACAATGCAGAAAAGAGAATGAAGCACTCTGGAAGCTCACCTCAGCTCCAGAGAGGAGAAACTGTCTCAGCAAACACAAGGTAAGTCCCCAGGGTCGGGAGGTCATGGGAGCAACAGGCTGGACCAGCACCACTAGTCCCAAGAAAAGCCCATAGATATTGTAAACAGCTAAAACAGTGTGGGTTTTACTTTGAAAGTGACTTCTTCCACAGGGAAGACTAGTTGGAGAAGAAGTCAAGTGCAGAACCCACAATATTACCAGAGAGTGTTTAATCCATTTCAGGAAGTAGTCAATTAAGACTGAGCCACAAAGCTACAAAATAACCTCACTTCAGCGTTCCCTATGTTATCCTCCCACAGTGACTGGATGAGTGACTCTCCCACAGGAGAGAGATGTAGAGAGGGTTAAGAAGTTTAAGCTCAGGCCAGGAGAGACAATAACTCTGCCTTCTGTGGTGAGAAGCCAGGCCCAGTGAGTGTGGCTTTCATTGGCAGATGTTTGAAAGCACAGGAATTAAGTACAGTGGTCTGCTTCAACTCTATCCCTGCTGTCCATGTCAAGCACAAATCAGAGGTCTAGTTGATTTCTCCATCTACTAATGTGAGCAAGGACACAATTCAGCTTGGATGGTAGCCAAAGCCTAGGATGAACTGACAGAGGGGCCTCTGGAGCACTTCACAAACCCATAGGCCATAAACTTAGGCAGAGAAAACTGTGAGTTGCTGAATTACAGAACTACAGATAGGGGAAAGAAACCACTCATTCAAAAACACAGAAGAATTTTTTTTGAACTCTTTTTTTTTTCCTCCTCTTTCTTATTCATTGGTGTTTGGGGTTTTGCGATTCTTTTTTCCTTTCCCTTTAATATTTTCTTTTTTATTACTGATTTTTCTTTTTTCTTTGTTATTTTCTATTCTTTATCTAATTCTATTAATTTCATTTACTCCTCAATAGGATCCATTAACACAATTTTTTCTCTTCTCATCTTTCATTAATTTTTCAAATTTTATTTTTTTATTCTCCTATTCCCTACCCTCTGTATTTTTATTAGTATAACCATAAAGCTTTATTAATCTTTAGACAGCTAACTCTGTGCTTTTACTCTTGAAGTTTTTCTCTATTGTTAGTAGAGATATTATTGTTATATTTAGTAGATATTTATTATATGTCAATATTTGGTTTGTGTGTTTATACCATAATTATAGATATCCTTTCTATGATTAAGAACAATATGTGATTGGTTCTTATGGTAAGGTAATATTCAGTTTTTTTCATGCTGTTATGATTGCTGATTTAGATGCTATTGCCAGGGTAGCATAGGTTTTCTCTGTATGCAAATATCAGAATTGTCTATGTGTCATAAACAATACTGTGATTCCTGGTAACTGGATGCTGGGCAAATTACACTGAATCCTCTACTACCAAATTAATGGAGATGGTCAGATCTTGGGAGAGACACAAAGGCCAACAGCCAAAGAGAATATCATTGAAAAAGCAGACACTAACTAAAGAGATCTCCACACTAACAACAAAATCTTTAGCACACACACAAAGGAAACAAAAATATCAAAATAAGTAAATAAATAAAATTAGAAATATGAGAAGACAAGACAACAAAATGCCTCCAAAAATTCCCAGTGCCAATACATGGATTAGCAAGGGGAGGAAATCAAAAGCCACCAGCTTAAATTTTTTGAAATGATATAAGAGATTAAAAACAGATCAATAGGACCCCAACATATAAGTAAGCAAGCCCACAACAGACCACACATAGCATCCTCTGATGCAAGCAAGCAGGCCAATGCTGGACTGCAGAAATAAAAAGAAAAGATCAAATTATCATTATTTGCAGAAGCCATACTCCTCTAGACAAAGAAGACTAAAAAACTGCACCAAAACACTCCTAGAAATAATAATCAAATTCAATAGCATGGTAGGATATAAAACCAACACACAAAAAAATAAATGACATTCCTGTACACCAATAATGAACTCATATAGAAAGACATTACTATTCACAGTACCATTCAGAATAGTACCAAGAAAAATTAAATACTTAGGAACTAACCAAGGAAGTGAAAGACCTCGCCAATGAAAACTACCACAGTCTGAAAAAGGAGATCAAAGAGGACATCAGAAAATGATGCCGTTTTACATAGGCATAACTAATATTGTCAAAATGGCCACAATTCCAAAACTGATATATAGATTTTATGCAATGCCAATTAAAATACTATTAGCATTCTTCACAGAACTAGAGAAGACAATCCTAAAATATTTATGGAAATAGAAGAGACCCAGAACAGCAAAAGCAATCCTGGGCAATAAGAGGAAATCACATTCCACACCCGAAATTATATCACAAAGCTACAGTGATAAAAACTGCATGGTAGTGGCACAAAATAGATACATATGGATCAATGGAACAGAATAGAGGATGCAGAAACAACTCCAGACACAGTCAGTGATCTGGTCTTTGACAAAGAAGGGAAAAACATGTTGGAGGAAAGTTAGCCCCTTTAACAAATGGTTCTAGGAAAACTAGCTATCCATAAGCAGAAGATTAAATCTACACCCATCTCTAAAATGGATCAAAAATCTAAATGTTAAAATAGAAACAATCTGCTGGAAGAGAAAATGGATAAAACTCTTGAAGACATAGGCATGGGCAAGGATTTTCTAAAGAGAGCACAAATCACATAAGAAATAGCACATAAGAATCAACAAATGGGATCATATCAAATTAAAAGTTTCTGCACAGCAAAGGAAACAACCAACAGAATAAAAAGACAACCTACCAATAGGGAAAAAAATTTTGCCAGCTATTCCTGAGACAAAGGACTAATATCTAAACCATATAAAGAGCTCAAAATAATTAGACCCCTTAATATAAAAGACACAATCAACAAATGGGCAAGCGAAATGAATAGACACTTCACAGAAGTAGTCAGAAAATATTCAACATCTCTAGCCATTAGAGAAATGCAAAGTAAAACATCAGAGATCCCACTTTACTCCAGAAAGAATGGCTATCACCAAGAAATGAAATAATAAATACTGGCAAAGCTGCAGAGAGAAAATGAACATTGTTGATGGAAATGCAAACAAGTACATTCTTTGTAGAAATCAGTACATGGATTCCTCAAAACACTAAAAGTAAAAATTCCATTTGACATAGCTCTTCTCCTCCTAGCTATCTCCCCCAAAAGAGTTAAAAGTCATTATATTACAGTGATACACACATACCCATGTTTATAGCTGCAGAACTCATAATAGCTAAATCTTGGAAGTGGCCTATATATCTATTAACAGACAGACGGAAAAAGAAAATGTGGCATTTATATACACAATGTAGTACTCTTCTGCCATACAGAAGGACAAACCTAAGGCATTTGTAGGAAAACAGATGTACCTTGGGACCATAATGTTAAGTGCATTAAATCAGATACAGAAGCTTAAGTATCACATAGTTTCCCTTATATGAAAAACTCAAAATATAAATAAGGAACAAAATAAAAGATAAATACTAGGAAATAGGAGATAGGTCTTTTACAAAAGGAAAGGGGAACAAGAGATGGAGGGAGGGGAGACGAAGGGAAGGTGATGAAAAAACTGAAGATGTTTTACATACATGTGTCAGCTCCCTGTGTGGAATGTAATCATTATGTACTGCAAGCATCTACCAAAAATTAAAAATTTTTAAAGATCAGGAACAAGGCAAGGTTGTCCACTCTTGCCACTTGGTTGCCACACAGTACTGGAAATTCCAGCCGGACCAATTATGCTAGAAAAAGAAAAAAAGACACCCAAATCAGAAAGGAAGCAATAAAGATAAAGAAATAGGAAAGAAATAGTAAAATCGAAGCAGTAAAAGAAAGCCGGTGACATGATCATATATGTAGGAAATCCTAAGCATTTATAAAAAAATGATTACCATCAATAACTAGATCCAATATAATTGCAGGATACAAAATACACAAAGGTAAGTTGCATTTCTATACAGTAACAATAAACTCTCTGAAAAGTAAATTAGGGACACAAACCTATTTACAATGGCACCAAAAATGAACAAAATCTTAAGAATAAACTTAAGAAAAAAAAAAAGAATAAACTTAAGAAGGTGAAAGATTTCTATAGTGAAAACTAC